AACAAGTTCGAAAATTCGACATATTTTTGTAGGGGTCAATACGTAACTTGAAAAACTTTAGAATTCTCTCTTAATCACTACTCATCTTAATGTTTGTTCTTTAATAAGTTTTTCTATTTAACACTACCTTCTATCTAAGTTCACTCCGATTTCTATTTACACCTCACTAAAAATTTTGAATTAATTTAACTTATTCTAAGAACACAACATTTGTTACCAAATTTCCCTTAAACACCGTCGCACCAACTATAAGAGATTTTGCACAGAAAAAAGATGAGGGTTTTTATGTTTTGTCATGGTGTCTTGAATGAACAATCCTTCGGAATTCAAATGTATTTCAGATTTTGATTGATTTCTATGCTCGTATAGAGCTTCAAAACTTTCTAGCTTTTGATGTTCGAGATTTTAGTAATTGGTTGATTTGAGATTTAAAAATCAAATTAGATTGGAATCCCTGCTCCTCCAACTTTAATCACATCCCTGAGGCCCTCTCTCTCTCTCTCTCTCTCTCTCTTCATAATTGATGCCTATGATATGCAATCTGCGTGTGCAACTTTTAGTTTGTTTATACGAGTTACCAACTTATCATTCATGGTACTACTTCATGTTTTATAATTTCAGGTATTAGTTGAAGAAATATTTGTTGGAAAAATTGAGGTCTAATTGCTATAATAAATTACATAGAAAGTCAAGAAATAATTTATGTAATTATATATCACAATAATGCATGTACATGAGTAACCAATATTAAATGAACATGATATAATGGATTAGAAAAACCTAGAAAATACAGTCGAGACAAGTGTTAGACACTTTGTCCTTAAGACAAGTTTATGCCTCACTAATGTGCTCATGGTTGATTGGCGCATGTCTCCCAAGATACAATGACCACATTCTGGTAATAGTAGCACTCCAAATCAAAAGGTTCTGTGAACCACGATTGTGTTGAAAACTCTCTCATATAGACTCAATGAGACTCTCTAATATTTAGTACACTTTATGTATGATTATGTAAAACAATGAAAAGTTATTATTGTGATTATAGGGGGCTTTACTATTTATAGAATGTGAGATACATCTTTGGAAAATATGTGACTATTCATAAAGAGTCAAAAGTTGCAACTCTTCATTTGAGTAGACATATCTTTCTACTAAAAGGCTCCACTTCTAATTTCCATTCAATTAAAAATTTTATATAATAATGTTATTATTAAATTTTCCAACAATCCTCCACATGAATGGAAATTGACTCAATACCATGCAAATGACAATACAAACACTAGAGAGAGAATTCATTAGGAAAAGTACCGCATCGGGATATGTGGCTTTTGGCCTTGAACCTTTCGTAGTGAATTACTATCAAATTTACTTGGCTAATCAGTGAACGCGATGTCTTGAACTGCTCAGCCGTTTGTGTAAACCAAGACAATAGTAATCACACAATACCCTTCCAGACACCCCGTGGTTGCTTGGTTGTGTTCATTTTGGCCCTGAACAATTCTTGGTTTCTCATGAGTGCTTTTAGAGAACTAAGCCCCTCAAAAAATTCTCACAGGAATAACCCCATTCCTCACTCAAGATAAGTGACTTCCCATTAAGAGTATCCTACAATACCCCACTTGTTATTTCCAAGTATATGAATCATTAAAAACAAAGCTTATCCTAAATACGTTGCAGATAGCATTGTTTCATCATAGGACACGGGTATGAGATTATCTCCCCAGTGCTACCATTGAATCATCCACAATTCGGTTGTCTCTTTGAACCTAGACCTTGGGATCTCCAGTCAGCTAGGTTGGGTTGCCATTATGGCGATTCTTAAGATGTAGGCTTTTAACCCATTCCCCTCGATGATACAACCTACTCTCTAATTAAACCTTTAATTTTTATTGGATCCACTAGGTTGATGACTATATCACTTATGGTGTGCACTTCCATTTATGAAATTATATTTCATTCGAGAGTAGTTGTTTTCCAACGTTAAGTCCTTCAAAACATATGTTAGGACTCAAAAAGTAATTTCCTAATACTCGGGTACATCCCCCCACATTTAAGGTATTTGCTAGAAGATCTCCAACCTTCCAATACCTTAAAAATTTGCAAGAGTTCAAGAGATAATTTAAAACCGTCTAGTGAACTAATCCACCACATATTTATTATCTCTTTCTAGAAGCAATTTACTCTTCTAGTATTCTTAAGTATATATCATTTTTCAAAAATAGCTAAGCCATCCCCACAATTCCCTTACATTGTGGTTGCTTTTTAATGCTATCAATTATTCATTCATCATGCTTAAGAAATAGGAATCAATGAAGATGTTTTGTTTTTATCTATCTTCACTTGTTATGGTCTAAAGTATCACTATAGCCTTTTCGGAGAAACATGTCTTGGCACCTTTAACCTATAAACTATCAAGTTCGCATGGCTAGGACCTCCTTTGATCAATGATAACACCATTGCAGTTGTCACACCTCGAAGTCAAAACATTATTCTCCCATGTACTTCCCTTCTCAGAAGTAGTTGTTATTACCTTACTTCCCTTAGTGGGAGACAGTGTCTATAATAAAGATGCAATCTCTACTTCTTTCCTTGTGGGCAATTAACACTGTAACATTTTTACCAAGAGTTGCTTATGCCATCACCTTGTGATAACTATCAACCACCAAATGGTGATCACTGTGATCATCTTACATGAAACAGTAATATGCATGAAGCACTACTTCAAACATTTGTATAAGTCTTTGCAATTTTTGCAACGAACTTCACATGACTTTTCACCCAGAGATATGTGCATCTACTCAAATAACAAAGCCAAATGATGGTATTATGATCTAGAGTAACACTCATGCATAACAAAATGACTTAATTTTCATTTCGAAAACAAAATGGTTGTTCGTAAGGAATGCATCATTGCATTATTTAAGTGCCCTACTTGCTCTATTGGATGTTCACAGAACTCTGAAACAACAAAGCTCTTCCCAAACGACACCATCTTTGTAACCGAATAGTTGCAGCTTGCAAAGGACCAAATGATCCATGCAAAGTGATCACGTCTTTCTACCAAATTTAAAAACCTCAGTCGTGTCCTTTGGTCCTCTAGATCCAATCTTGGAATCTTTGTCATTTTCCATTTGAAATAGAGATTGACTTCAGGTAGGACCAAGGATCTCTTCAGTCCATATCTTTCAAATCGTTCCAGCGCTGTTAGCTTGCCAATAAGGAACACGAGACTGCATTCACAGAAAGGTGTGAACACCATGTATATCGCTTACTATCAGCCAAGGCCCAAATCTTAATGCATGAGTTAGTTAACAAATCCACAAAAACTTAAATTTAAAAGTGCATACACACAACACAAGTCTTCTATAAATATGTGAGTCATTTCATCAGTTATAAAGATATATATGCAAATCACCAATATAGAACCCATGTGAATAATTTCCCAGATTTTATAATATACAATCAGCACTTCACACAAAAATTTTACCGCACACGCATCATATGCATGTCTCAACATATATGCAGGACATATGTTCCAATTAGAGTGTTTTTCAACAGGCATTGCACTAAAATAAATTATCAGTCCAAACTTAGAACACGTATAAAAGTAAACCAATAAACATGTAACGGTTAATTGGTTCAATTAACTATAACCATCCCATCTACACAAGGCATAAAACAAACGAACAAAATAATGAAGAAGGTTACGAGTTAGCATCTTTTGAATCAAATTTAACTTGCAATGCATTTGCAAACAGTTAACATATGTACTGCTTTATGCGAAACTAGAAACCAAAACATTCTACCATGAAAAGGAAAATCCACGCAGAAACGTACACGATAGAATACTGTTCTCAAACAAACACAGCAATCAAACCATAAACTTGTCTTAAGATTGTTGGAAAAATTAGGGTCTAATTGCTATAATAAATCACATAAAAAATCAAGAAATAATCCATGCAATTATAAGTCACAATAATGCATGCACATGAGTAACCAATGTTAAATGAACATGATATAATGGATTAGAAAAACCTAGAAAATACGGTCAAGGCAAGTGTTGGACACTTTATCCTTAAGACAAGTTTACGCTCCACTATGGTGCTCATAGTTAATCGGCGCATGGACTCAATGAGACTCTCTAATATTTAGTACACTATGTATGATTATGTAAAACAATAAAAAATTACTATTATGATTATAGGGGAGCTTCCCTATTTATAAAATGTGAGATACCTATTTGAAAAACATGCGACTATTCATGAAGAGTCAAAAGTTGCAACTCTTCATTTGAGTAGACACATCTTTCTACCAAAAGGTTCCACTTCTAATTTCCATTCAATTAAAATTTTTATATAATAATATTATTATTAAAATTTCAAACGGTATTTGAGTTATTTCAAGACCCCAATTTTTGAATGTTCGAGGGCTCACGAGCTGCTCTTGCTGGCCGTTCCCAGATTATGTGGGCTTTGAGGGTTAAGAATTAAACAAGTCTGACTAATTATTGAAGAAAACAACAGCAAGGCGTGAAGCAAGGCATATCTCTGTTGCTATAACAAGGAGCTGTTCCCCTCGTCCTCTTCAGCATCTCTGAGCTGCTTCAGTTGGTTTCCTATATTTTGGCGAATATTTTTGTTGATAAACCTACATTTTTTTTTTTTTTTGAACAAACAAAATTATCTACACTAGGTGGGGAAGTGGACTAAGCCTGACAATAGGTTAGCAATAATATGATTCAAATTCGCTTTTGACGAGAATCAAACCTAACACTTCTCAATCACAAATGAAGAGGAATAACAAAAAAAATTAACAATATCATATCTTATCACTTTAAGAAATAACTCAGAAAATAAAATAAAAACCCTAATTCAATAATCTTAAAATAATTCACTTCATCTTTGGTCATTCTCAATGTATCTAAACATAAATTGCTAATCATAGATCTAACAATTTAGTTGCAGTAAATTGGTAGAACAAACTATTTTTAGAAACAAAAATAACGTAGAGGACTAATCAAGCAAATTAATTGGATCAAGGTAGAACAGCTGGTCCATCAATCGATTATGGCGTGCGCCATTTACTTTGTACTTATTGTAAACAGCAACCAGAGAGTTGAAATTGAGACAAGATTTTCCACACCCTATATAATATGACAGAGAAGTACCACTACGTAGGTAAGGGACTCATTTTGGTGGTGAATTTTAATGACATCATTTCCATGGAATCTTCTGAATCAGTATGGCGATTGTTCTTTTTCCGAGCCAACTCCGCTGCCAAGCACTCCTTCAGCTCTATCACTACCTCACGCATGGTTGGCCTTGTGATAGAACGAGAAGATACATAATCCAAAGCTTTTTCAACAGCTTTCTAGACAGAATTGCTATCAAAGTTTCCCTTCAGCCTTGAATCAACGATACTTTTGATATCTCCTTTGCCAACCATGAAGCTAACCCATTTCGTAATGTGAACTTTTTCATGCGTCTGCGATATGATAGGTCGACTTGTTATAATCTCCAACAGCACAACCCCGAAGTTATAAACATCACTTTTCTCATTTAACATGTTTGATTGGTAGTACCTGAAAAACCAAACCATGAAATTCAAATCATACTTCTAATAATATTTCCTAAAACATCAATTTGTAACATCTTTCTTCATCCTTCTGGTTCCTTTGTATAGCAGACGAAAGATGAAGGGTAAAGTAAAAAGGCAAAAAGACTTACTCGAGGTCAAGGTACCCAGGAGTTCCTGCAACGCGTGTCCACACACGAGTCCCATCCTCAGCAGGAAAATTTCTGGATAGGCCAAAATATCCGCTAGTTTGGCTTGAAGGTTTTCATTCAACAATATATTTGTAGATTTTACATCTCTGTGGATTATAGGAGGTTTGCAGCCGTAGTGCAGATACTCCAATCCTACATTGCAAATTTTCTTGACGCTTGTTACACGATAAAAAAAATGTAGATATGCTATAGAGGGGCTACGAAAATTTCTACTTGCTGACCGCGTGCAGCGTCAATTGCAATCCGAAGTCTGTCTGCCCAACTCAATATATTTGACCTGTTATCTGCATTTGTATATAATGAATCAGCCATTATTTATGTGTTATTCTATTTAAATTCTCAGGTAAATCTCAGTTTACTACCCTCAAGTTTCGTGGTTTTCAATATTTGATACATGAAGTTTTTTTCGTCCCAGAGTCATACCTAAAGTGTTAATTTTAAGACGGTCTCATACATCTGTTAGTCTGGCTATTAAGTCTTCCGTTAACTGATGACGTGGCACCTATGTGAACAATGACTGGACGCCACGTGTCATTAAGGGTCTACGCAGAAATTAAAAATTCAAAAAAAAAAAAAAAAAAAAAAAAAAAAAAAAAAAGGAGAGGGTAAATTACACTTTATCATATCAGGTTTGAGGTCTATTACAACCTATATAACATCTTCAAAAAATTTCACTTTCATACCTCAAGTACTATTTTATTTTAACATAATACAACCGTTACATTTTTCATCTATTGATCCGTTAAGAGCTGACGTAGCTGTTACATTTGTGTTGATGTGACTAGCACATGGCTAAAAAAAAAAAAATTTTATGCATTTAAAATATTATAATAATTTATCTTATTAAAAAAATAAAAATAAAAAAAGAAGAAAAACCTCCCAGAAATCCCTCCCCGCAACCCCCCACCCCACTCAAATCCCTAAAACCTCCCCAGTTCACGCCCTCTGTTCTCCTCCTCCTCCGTCGACAGAACCTAGAAACCCAAACCCCAAAAAATCCAATACCAGGCTTCTCTCCTCTGTTTGCAACATCTCATTCTCTCCTCCCGTCTACAACACCTCTTCACAAACAGAGTATCCAAAAGCCTCCCAATCTCTCTCAGTGATAGCCAATGAGAAGAAGAAATAAAGTTAATATGGAGAACCCGCTATGGTTTTGAGCATACCCGCTGTCATTTGTGAAATCTGCGTTGAATCCAAGATGAGGTTTTGAGCATACCCTAGATGGTTATTCTATTGAGCTCCGCCATGCGTTGAATCCAACTTTATTGAGGCGTTTCGGATCGAAAACTACAACCATGGTTATTGTACTAAGCTCTGCTGTGTCTCTTCCTCCTCTTCTGGTTCCCTCGAGACCCGCGGCCTCGTCGCCTGCAACACTAGGTAAGGTTGGGGCTAAAATTGGGGCTAATAAAATTTTGGGTATTTAAGGGGGAGGAGATGAGGAGATAAGGATGGGGTGGGATGAGGGAGTTTGGGTTGGGGGGAAGGGGTTGGGGAAGATGGGTTTCAGGTTTGTTTGCGGGGGAGGTAGGGTGGGGTGATATGGAGGAGAGGGAGTGGGTCGGGGGGAGGGGAAATGGTTTCTGGGTTTGATTGGGTTATTTTTTATTTTTAATAGGATAAATATTATAATATTTTAAATAATAAAAAAAATATTTTCTTGCAACGCGACATAAATTGGGCAGCCAATCAGCATAAATATAGATTTCATATTTACCCCGTCATTACTTAACGATTTATTTAACAGATTTTCTAATAAATGTATGAAATTGAAATAAAATAATAAGTAAATGTATGAAATTGAAATATTTTAAAAATATTGTAAGAAATTAAAATCAATCTCAAACTTGGGTAAAATGTTTACCCAAAAAAAAAAAAAAAAAAAACCAGAACCCCCTTCCCCACCCGACACGCCTCCACCCCTCTACCCCTCTACCCCTTCCGTCTTACACTTGCCGATCCCTGGAGCTCAGAACTTAGTCTTCAAGCCGAAAACAATACAAAAACCACAAGATTCAACATTTTCCTGCCATTTCATCACATTTTCTTGACAGCCAAACGGACTGCCACTGTAAAACAAGCTAAAAGAGTATCCACTCCCCTCGACAAGCGCATAACAACAACTAAAAGTCCATTAGCTCCGGCCCAACCGCAAAGACAGCTTCAAGGATTTGAGCGCCGGAGAGTGAAGAGAGTACGCAGCGACAACGACGGAAGCGGATTGGAGGATCCGGACCCAAAACGGAAGATCTTTTCGGATTCAAAAGTCGAAGTTTTGATAATTCCTTATCATTTTTTTGGGGTGCTTGGGTGGAGGGGATGGAGGGGTGGAAGGAAAAAGCAGAACTATCACGGAAATGGGCACGGCGTCCAGCTGGTGGCACAGCCAGATGCGTTGATTTGGAGATCTGGGAGCCTGAGGCCGATGATGGAGGGTCTGTATCCGGACGGAGGGGAACTTGGGGATTCGAAGCGGGTCGGGTCCGGTTTGGGCCATTAGATGCGAGGGCAGCTGCAGCGGACTCCCTCCGTGAGCTCCGTCACGCATAACACTCCCATCGCCAGTCTCTCTCTCTAACTTTCTCTCTCTAGCTCTGTTTTATGTTCATCTGGAGCTTTTGCTCCATTTTCTTTGAACTTTTCTGTCTTTGTTTCTGAGATGGCCACTGCAGAAAAACAACAAAATAATTGCTTTATTCATTTTGTTTGTATGCTACTGGGGACTGCGGTGGTGGTATTTCGAATTTGTACAAATTTTGACTGAGACAAAGATTTTAAGATTTGGGTTTTGGATTTATTTTACAGAAATGGTTGGATTCTTCTTGCCTGGGTTTTGGATTTATTTTACAGAAATGGTTGGATTCTTGGAGGGATGGAGGGATGGAGGGGTGGAGCCGTGGAGGGGGTGGAGGGGATGAAGGGGCGTTGGGTGGGGAAGACGAAGGGAGGGTAGAGATGAGGGAGGGTGGTGCGGGTTGCAGAGGAGAGAAGGGAGGGAGGATGGGTGGGGGTTGCAGAGGAGAGAAGGGAGGGTACGGGTTGCAAATGAAAGAAGGGAGGGAGGGGGCTGGGGGGAGGTAGAAGACGGGTGGGTATTTTTTTTATTTTTATTTTTTTGAATTTTTAATTTCTACGCAGGCTTTTAATGACATATAGCGTCACATTATCAGTTAACAGGAGACTTAACCGCCAGACCAACGAATTATGAAACTATTCCAAAATTAACATTTTAGATATGATTCTAGAACGAAAAAAAACTTCATGTACCAAATATTAAAAATCACGAAATTTGAGTGTAGTAAACTGAAATTTATCCTAAATTCTAATAGAGTTACTAATTGTTGCCAAAATTAACAGGTGTTAAGAGCATGTTGATGAAGTTGTTTGATTGTTCATCATGTGGCCTAGTGTTTATTTCGCTATATGCTTTTACGTCCACTTTCAGATTGTTCAGATATTTGAAAATTTTGCTTCGTTTTAGTTCATTACACTTTCAAGGATTTGATTCTGGGGGGCTCATAACCATTATAGCTGCAGCGTAACCCTTCCCACAAGTACTCTTGGGGTGCACATGGGTCTCCTTGCCAATTTCTCTTCACTCCGTATGTGTTCTTGATGTTTTGTATGAAGCCAACTAATATACAAAGATTCACTAAAGAAAACCTCAACTAAGTCGGCCATATATATAGCGGCAGTAAATTAGTAATGGGAGACGATCTGTTTGGAAATATTTGCATACCATCTTGTTGGTTAGTTTCTTCCTGCAAGAACTCAATGACCGTATAAATCTCAAGGGCATTGAGGATGGGTGCAAGGGTAGAGTTTCCGTCCTGAGAGATTGACAAGTTGTGCAGTGCTGCTCCTGTTAAAGCCTCTGTCGTGGATACTGTCGATGTGGCTAAGTACAGAAGAGGGAAAGGCTCCTGAAAGGGCTTTCCATTCCAAGTAATGCTTAACAATCTAGTCTGGTTGGTTTGGAGTTTTTCAATTTCAGCGAAGTGAAGGTAGACATAATATTTGGTATTTTCATCAGGGGAATTCCACCAAAGATCTAAATTAGTCGCATTTTTCGGCGTTGCAGCAGAGCTCATGACAATAGATGGCACTTGGTAGACATTCTGATTTTCAGGGTCGATGGTCGGCGAAGTGGTTACTTGTTTCCATTCACTGTAATGATGGGGATCCCATATGCGATCATAAATGTCATCTATATAACTGGAAACAAAAATTTTGTCAGAATTTAATCAAAGAGAACATTTCAAATACCCTGAATCCCACCCCGAAAATACATGGAAGAACTATGGTACTTAAGCAAGGCACATAAGTCTAAATGACCTGGGGTTCTTACAGTAACAAAAGAGAAGGCAAACCTGTATGTTTTATTAGTTATTGTACCAGCGTCATAATGCAAGAAGACTGCTAAGGATCCCATTTGAGTCTGGTAAGTTGAATTATCCAGAGGCCTTAATTCTATTGCTGATATAAACGGAATCCTAGAGCCCTTATTTGCCAAACAAACGTGTATATAGTTCTGCAAAGGAACATGTATGATCTCCTTTATTGTGTTGTTTTTTACTGTACCCCAAAGTTAGCTCCAAGATGCAGATCAAACTCTGGTGCCATGTTTTCGCCATCATAATTCCCATAGATGAACGTTGCTCGGATCAAATATTTGGTGCCTCTTGTTATGTTTATAGTGTTACAGTTCCTGATTCCTTCAGGAAAGTATCTGAGATACCAGACTTGTTGGTAGAGACTTCTGTATTGTAACAATAGGAGCTTACTTTCACCGTTGTCCACGAAAGCTTCATCTGAAATGTAAAACAAGCCAGTTGTCTGCTCAGTATATCTTTGACCAGCAGGTAAGCCACAGTCTATGCAAATGAATCGTGCGACAGGTTGAAAAAGTCGATGCTTGTTAGCTGTAGGTACATATAGTGAACCAAAAATCGAAATGAAACTAATTTTGAATTCAAAAATTCCTATACCTGTTTGATCCTGGCCATAAACTCTAAGTATCGGTGCAATCAAACCAAGCAAGCAATACAGGAAATGTTTCGTTTTCCCCTGCGTTATCATAGCTTCTTGCCTTGGACAACAATACTCATGTATGTTAGATATATGTACTGATAAACATGTGAATTAAATATGGACAATCGTTTAGTCAAACAGATCATCAGGATTAACTTTGGTCAACTCAGACATTGGTTTCGTGTATAGTCATTACAATGCACCTACAATGCCAGGCAATTAACTCGATGTAAACCAGAATATAGTTTTCAAGGTTAGTTTGATTCAGATCATAGTACATATACAAATTAATCAAACACTGGAACGAAATGAATTGGAATGTTTCAACTCTGTTGGTGATCTCTTAAAGAACATATATACTTAGTGATTGCATTATCTTATAGCGTTGATAGGCTATGAGCAAGCTTAAACAATCATTATATGATATAATTTCTTAATTAATTTGGTTATCCATGTTGAATCCACTGTTCTCTTTACACAGGTTATGAACTGATATATATATTTTAACAGCAATGCTGAAGCATACCAGGACATAAAAAAAAAAAAAAAAAATATATATATATATATATATATATAAATAAATAAAAGACAGAAGAACACAAAACTGTGGTGATGAGATTGACTTTAACTTTTGAAATCGCGCAAAAGAATTGCACAGAGATTTAAGTACTATTTGTGATTAGCAATAAGTATGGTTAATGTGGAAGCCTGTTTAATAAGCAAAGGGTGGGGGAGACGAGAACGGAGTGGACTTTGTTTTTGAATCAAATATCAACTTGTGATGATATAAGACGAGTTTCTTGAGATGATGATAGAAGTGGTCAAAATATTAAGGGTAAATTACATTTTACTTCCTTAGGTTTGATGTCGATTTCAATTCCTTACAACATCTTCAAAACATTTCAATTTCATACATTTGCTTATCATTTTATTTCAATTTCATACATCCATTAGAAAATCTGTTAAGTAAACCGTTGAGTGATGACGTGGCAAATATGGGATCCACATTTGTCTTACGTGGCTGCCAAATTTGTGCCACGTGGCAAAAAAAATAATTTTTTATACATTTAAAATATAATAATATTTTCCCTATTAAAAAAAAAAAATACCAAACAAACCCAGAAACCCATCTTCCCCTTACACTCCCTCAACTAGTCCTTCCGCCCAGCAATGGTGATATGCCACCAACATAAACCCCACATTCAAATCCTGAAATTGCTTGGAGGTGGCGAACTTAGTGACGCCTTCGAGGCCACCGATCTCCTCGTCGAGGACGAGAGATAGGTGGAATGTGTGGATAGGGGTGAAATTGGTGGCCTGGAGGTTGCAGATGGCCTCAAGGTACTGGATGGCTATTCACTTGTCATCCTGGGCGCCACAGGCGAAGATGAGGCCCTCTTGGGTGTGGTGGGCGGAGAAGGGAGAGTGGGTCCACTTGTCAGGCTTGGCGTGGATGGAGGCGAGGTGGGAGTTGAGGAGGAGAAAAGAGGAGAGAGGGGTGGGATCTGGGCCAGGTGAGGAGGAGAAGGGGCTTGGATTTGGATAGGGTGAAATGGAGTGTCTGGATTTGGAGGTTTAGGGTTTGGCCGATGCCGGTGAGGAAGGCAACGGGGGTGCTGTTTTGGTAGTCGGAGTTGGCCCCAGTTGCAATGAGTATGTGGAGGAGGAGTTGGTGGCAGATTGCCATTGTTTGGTTTTTTTTTTTTTTTTTTTTTTTTTAATTTTTTTTAATGGGGTAAATATTATTATATTTTAAATGTATATAAATAAAAATTACCACGTGGCACAAATTTGGCAGCCACATAAGCACAAATGTGGATCCCATATTTGCTATGTCATCACTTAATGGTTTACTTTACAGATTTTCTAACAGATGTATGAAATTGACATAAAATGATAAGTAAATGTATGAAATTGAAATGTTTTAAAGATATTGTAAGGAATTGAAATTAATCCCAAACCTAAGGGGGTAAAATGTAATTTACCCAATATTCAATATAATAAAAAAATAATATGTTGTTGTGGTTTATTTTATTTGATGGTGAGAGAGGGGCGCAGCAATGAGAGAGATGTGTTTCTAGGGTTGTATAGAGGATGTGTTATTCCCCTTATGCAGTACCTTTATTTATCGTAATAAGGGAGGGAGGAGTCCTTCTCCTCCAAGGAATACAAGTCCTAATAGGGAAGAGTAATTAGTATTAAATCCAATTTAGGATTTACAAAATCACACTCAAATACAAAGTTTATAACACTCTTTTTAAGTGTGTAAATACTCAAGTAGATTTGACATCATGCAGAGTTGAGGAAGTCAACTCGTCGGCACTGATTCTGGGAACATGCTAGTCTCAAAGTTTCCTCAACTCTTCGGCACTGATTCTGGGAACATGCTAGTCTCAAAGTAAAGTAGGAACTTGTATATGGAACTAAGTCTCACAAAAAACCTATGGCTATGGTAAAACCCTAATAGGGATAAACTCATACTTTAAGGAAAAATGCATGAGAAATGCAAAGTCAAATTAAATGTCTACGGGACATCATCATGGATATGATCAATCCAAGGTGAGTGCCTTGTCAAAACCTTGTTAGGTAGCAAAAACCCAGTGGGAAAAATACTCATAATCATAGGGAAAAAGAGTACATTAAGATCAAGCAAGTATACTTCAAGCTACTCCCCCTGAGTTTGACATAATTCCAAAGAGAACTAACAACGTTACAACTTAGAAAGTTAACGCATACCTATTCATTGAACAAGCTTCTGAAACATCGCCTTCGGTAGTGATTTGGTGAAGAGGTCAGCCAGATTGTCTTGTGAACGGATTTGCTTGATTTCAATCTTCTAATGCTCTTGTTGTTGATGTGAGAAGAAGAACTTCAGCGCAATGTGCTTGGTGTTGTCTCATTTGATGTAATCCTTCTTGAGTTATTTGATGCATGCTACGTTGTCTTCATAGATTGTTGTCGGGACTCAACGATGGGGTAAGGATCGCATGAGCTTTAAATATGGCCCACAAATGCTTTCAGCCAAAAACCTTCCTGAGTAGCTTCATGTAAGGCGAGAATTTCAACATGGTTAGACGAAGTGGCAACTAAGGTCTATTTAGTTGACCTTCAAGAGATTGTGATGCCTCCAATAGTAAAGACATAACCTGTTTGAGAACACGCCTTATGTTGATCAGATAAATATCATGCGTCGGCATAACCAACAAGGCAAGAATCGACTCGAGATAAGGGGTGCGACATTATTCGAGGATCCGTAGGGATAGAACAAGCCCAAATCTGTAGTACCCTTAAGGTAACGGAAGATGTCTTTAACACCAATCTAATGTCTACATGTTGGTGCATTACTGTATCTTACCAAAGATTAACAACAAAGGAGATGTCGGGTTTAGTGCATTGAGCTAAGTACAATAAAGCACCTATTGCCCTTAGATAAGGAACTTCAGGTTCCAAAATCTCTTCATCATCCTCATTTGGACGGAAGGGATCACGTTTTGCATCTAGTGATCGAACGACCATAGGAGTACTCGAAGGCTTCACTTTATCTTCATTAAAGCAGCACAACACCTTCTACGTATAGTTCGATTAATGTACTAAGATTTCATCCAAACAGTGCTCTATCTCGATACCGAGATAATATCGAGTCTTTCTTAGATCTTTCATCTCAAATTTTGACTTCAAGTGCGCATCAGTTTAACTTTTCAAGAGTTCCGATGAGGTTTATGTCGTTGACATAAAATGCAATAATCGCAAAACCAGAACGTGACTTCTTAATGAACATGCAAGGGCATAGTTCATTGTTCACATATCCTTAACTAGTCAAATACTCACTTAGACAGTTATACCACATTCTTCCAGATTGCTTCAAACCATAGAGTGAACGCCTTAGCCGAATTGAGAGCGTGTTCCGAGGTTTGGAAATATTTGATCCAGTCAATGTCAGTCCTGCGGGAACTTTTATATAAATTTTCGTATCAAGATCCTTATGGAGAGACGCAGTTACTACGTCCATCAGCTGCATACTAAGTTTTTTGGAAACTACTAAACTGATAAGGTAGGGAAAAGTAATCACATCCATAACAGGTGAATAAGTTTTGTCATAGTCAATCTAAGGGTGTTGTGAGAAGCCTTGCGCAACAAGACGAGCTTTGTAACGCATGATTTTGTTATTCTTGTTATGCTTCCGAATGAAAACCCACATTTAGCCAACAGGCTTCACATGTGAAGGAGTATGAGCCATAAGTCCAAACACCTTACATTTTGCAAGCGAATCGAGTTTAATTTAGATTTCTTGTTTCCAGTTTGACCAATCAATTATATGTCGACATTCATTAACGGAACGGGGTTCAATTTCATTGCTTAACATGATCTCAGTAGCTATTGCATATGCTAATGCATCGTCGATAATCATCTCATTTCTAAACCAAACATCATCCAAGCTAGCATAATTGACCGAAATCTCATGATTCTCGGGAGGTGGATTAGTCTCTTCAAGGACATTTCCGTAATCTAGAAGTTCCTCATGAGTTGGATAGAATGAGTCGGCGAGCCGTGGGTTTCCTCTTCCGGGGTGTAAATCCTTTGAACCAAGTGGTCTGCCATGCTTTTGTGTAGGGGTAAAGGATTAGCTAGCCACTAATGTCTATGGATCGGCCAAAATGGCATCTCGAGCCTTTAGGAGGAAAGTCCATCATACATTTGGTACATTCATCTTTGCAGGCACATTCCCAGCTAGAATATGTGATCATGTCACTCGCACTAGATCCGTGAAAGCATATGGCATGCTCTGATCTATGCTCTCAAGATCTAATATACGCTGCACTACAGTTTCAAACTAAGTGGTGCAGGGATCTAAAGGAGACAAAGTAGGAGTCGTCCACGTCGTTCTTTGGAAACGTTGACGTTCTTCACTCCCCTTAACGACGGAAGGACTATCTTATAGAAGTGACAATCCGTGAAACGAATGACAAACAGATTGTCTATTAAAGGTTCTAAGTAATGAATAATTGAAGGAGAATCATATCCGACATAGATTTTCATCCTTCGTTGAAGTCTTATTTTTGTACGTAAAGGGCGGCAAAATCGGCACATAGACCACACAACCAAAAACGCGTAGATGTGATATGTCAGGTTCATATCTGGTAACCAATTGAAGGACGTTATATGGTTAGGTCGCT